GGTCCAGCTCCACCAGAAAAAAAAGTGACTGAAGCACTCGGTGAGGTACAGCGCGGCTGGGAGGATAAACACGCAGCGATAGGAGCCTCTGCGGATCTACCAGGAGACACCCGGGCAGGGCAGCTGCCTCCCACATAACAGCGCTACTGGGTTTGGAACCGAGCAGTGGGAAACCTGAGCAGTGGGAAGGACCACATACAATGGCTGTTTGCTTTACTTCTTTCTCACCTTTCTTTTTCTCACCGCCACACCTTAGACAGAGGCTTGGGTTTTGCTTAAGCCGGGATGGCTGGCTGCAGGTAACGTTACTCCAGTGATTCGCTGCGTCTTAAGTTGCAGCTCCAAATCAGAACAAGGGAGAAGAACAAAACATCAGCGAGGGTTCAGCACAAAAACAAAGCAGCAGCAACAACAAAGCAACAGAGGGGGAGAAAGGGGGAGAAAGGGGGAGAAAGGGGGAGAAAGGGGGAGAAAGGGGGAGAAAGGGAGGGCATTTTCTAGCAAATATTCCCAGTTTCCTTAAACTACCGATACAAAGCCAGATGAAACCCTTGGAAGTTCTCCGCAGATTTCACTGGACTTCAGGCCAAATTTCCATGATCGACAGTGTTTTTCCTTTCACAACCCTAGCTCTCATGAAGTGATGAGCTCCTGCCTTTTCTGTTGATTTCGAGCAGGATTGCAGCTGCTCAGCAACATTGCAAACTGGTCCTGTTATGAGGAACTGGTTTGGTGAAATCCTTTGTGCAGAGCATTCACCTGTTGATGCAGGTATGTAGGTGTAAATTGGGATTTAGCTCATTATCTCAGCTGCTCTGTTTTTCCAAACACTTGTGGGAAGGGGCTGGATCAGTCCCCTTGCATCTGGAGGGTTTCTGTGACAGGTTACACGAGACGGGCACTTGTGCTGAACCTTCTGCAGCAGCAGGGTGGTGTTGAGTGACCTCAGCACAAAACTATGACAGCAGCCAGCCAAAAACCTTGGCTTTCCTGTTTGAATCTAGGGGTTTGCCTTCTCCTGACTCCATCGCTTTGTTTCAGAATTTGGGTTTAATCATTAATTTCCATGTGTCTGCGGCCCGCATGCCTGCTGCGCAGCGAGAGATGGGGCCAGACTGATAAGCCGCTCTGGGAAAGCTGAGACGTGTTGCGCTGCTTCCGACTGCTTCCCCTCTGGTACCGAAACACAACCTCCACACGCCACGATGGCAGCGCGATTCTGGGTGGGGACCACACAGCTCCCTGCTGGGAGGGAGGCCCAAGCATGCATGGTTTAATAAACAAATCAAAGCAATTTGTAATTATCCATTATTGTTCAAGTCCACAAGGTGTAAATATTGAGGTTTTTTTTCCATCGTATAGATGAGAAAGCTAAAGCCGAGAAGAATACATGAGCTTCACCATCTCTCACAGGGGTTTTCTTGCAGAACCAAGGGGAGATCATGCTTTCTGACCCCTACAGCCCTGCACACTCCAGAAAATACCTCTACGGGACCGTGCACAGTCCTTCCCAGCTGCCTCCTCCCTCCCAGCTGCTGCTGTAACCCCTCTCTAAAAAAACTGCTACTGTCAGAAAACAGCCAAATGTCAAGCCAGGAAAAAAGCCCGCATGGGAACTGACCTCCTCTCAGCTCCAGAGGTACTTTGGGAGTTATTCTATTTGTGTGTGCGGGAAGGGGGGAGGCAGCCTCCAAACGTGATTAAAACATTGTTTTCTGAGAGACGTGCTGTTCTGACCCTCCAGTTAGCTGTGAAAAAGGGCACTGGGAGCGTGCACGTGAGTCATTGCTAAAAAATCTCTGAATGAATGAGATTGTCTAGATAACGCCTCTCTCCCACCGACAGCAAAACCTCCGTGCTGTCGCCTGATGGCTGAAGGCGATACCCAGCCCCAGCTCTGCCAATCCCTGTCCCAAGTGTGGGTTTTGGTTCAGTGGCTTTTGGATGGCATAGGGCTGCTCACCTGAACATCGGGGTGATCGGGATCAGCAGCTGCGAAGGCACCTCTCATACCCCACTGGAACAGCAGTTTTCTGTTCTCCGATTGCATCTATTTTTAGAGAGAAGCATCAGAAAGCATTATATTCCTGCAGCAAAGCTAAGATTGTTTTCTTCAGCAAGAAAATATTACCCAGTGTTTATGTACCTTGCTTCCTTCCACAGTATGCTTTGGGAAATCAATCCATTAGGTGGTTACAAAAACTGAGAAAAATTCAGCCCCTCTGAGACCTGATCTCTTTTCTACCTGCAGCCTGCGTTGATGTGTGACGTGAGCTCTCTAGTTTGTTTTCCTGGCTGTTGAATAGCAAGGCTCAATTGTTTGCTTTGAGGTTCTGCATAAGCAACAATGTAGAACTTTTTTTTTTTTAACAAAAAATAGAGCGCTCCTTACTCTTTTAGCTTGGATTCCACGAGAACCTTCAAAAAGAATTATAACCTGATTGTACCTGCTACAGTGGAAATACATTTATTATATGAATCTTGATATATGTTTTAAGCAAGGGACTAGTTTGTTATGCATGTATTTCATAAGAATCCTGTAAGACTTTCAGAAATAGGGAACGCAAATGGGGCTTTCACATAATTCCAACTTCATACACCTACCGAATGCAGCAGCAGGCTGTCTGAGTCTCAAGAGAGATGATTCAAATATTGTTTGTAAAGCTAATCAAGGAACAGAAACTCTTTGACAGAAGAACTACCACCTTGAACTAACCGTGTGCTGTCTCTAACTGCACCTGTGTTGGCAGCAAACATTCTTTTCCCATTGTATGTTATTTTTTGATCCTGGTTTTCCAAGATAATACTGATTACACAGTTACTTTGCCTTTGTCATTTCTTACTCTAATGACTTTTAAACCTTTTGGCCAAGTTCTACAAAATTCAGTTTTTAGAGGCCTCCCACATTCATGCAGGTTTCATGTCAACAGGCAGCTGGGAAGAGGAGGGCGAGGTGATGAATGGGAAAACCCACGGCATCCTTTGAATTCCGTGCTTAGCACTAGGGATGCAAACAGAAAAGTGCAAGAAAATAGGCGTCCATTTGAAATAGCTTGTGTTAGGCTCTCGATGTACAGGGCAAATCCATAGTTCAGTCTTCTCTAGCAATTCTGTAGGGGATGTCTCATTTCCCTGCGTGCAGAGAACACCGACACAGCACATGCAAATGTCTCAGGTGCAGGAAATCCCTCTTTTACCTCTGTAACTGTCAGCCTCTCCCCTTCTCCACCAGTTGGGCAATATTTCCTAGAGGGTGTAACGTTTGCTGAAAGTATTTGCAGTGGCGCAGGTTGCAACACTGCCATCCTCCCACTCCGTGTGTGACCAGAGAGACGAGGCTGGGCGGGTTGGCCCTGAGAGGTAACCCAGGAAGGCTGGAGGTAAGGCAAGGACAGGATCCTGCCCGGCTCTGCGTGAGCACTGGAGCTCAGCGGAGGCATTGTGTACCAACAGGAAAATACAGCCAACGTTCTGGAAGGTCGCCGTGACCCCAGGGAGGTGTGCCAGGGTATTCACACCGGCTTGGCACCTCCACGTTGGGCCAGCCCAGAGAGAGGTTGAATCAAAGCCAAATTCCATCTTCCATCGACTTTTCCCATCCCTTTTGAGGGTGGGGGAGTTACCACCTATGAAAGCACAGATTTACCGCTGGATTTTGATTCTTCCTCCCTTGGAGTTCCCATGGTGAGGAGCGGTCTGTGGTCCCTGGAAGAGGATCTCTCTCCTCACAGAGATTTCAGCATCTCAGGTGCCACTGGCAGATGTGTCAGAAGATTCCTGGGTATGGCAATAATTGAACTGTTGTGTCTGCAACTGGAAGTGTGAAAGCCTGGCAGTAAAGGCAGACCTGTCCAAGCTTTATTTTTCTGATATTAACCCTGGAGATGACCAGCTCTTTGTGCATAACCAGCTGAGATCACAAAAAAAACCCCACACCACTGTATTTTTTTCTCTTGCATCTGAAGGACAGAAAAATCTATAGAGAGAGAAAGGAATTGAAGGCTACCTAAACAGGCCTTCTGCTCTTGGTATTTTTGACTGAGGGTCCATAAGTGTCAAATCCCTTTATTACTGCTAGTTTGGTAGCACACAGTGGCTGCCTGAAAAAATCACGGTCCCATTGTTTCAGCCACTTTTCACTGCACCCAGATAATTAATGGTCTAATAAACACAAGAATGTCAGGGAGGAGAGGTTCCCATAGAAACAGTGGTTTGTTAAAGTCAGAAAATGGTTCACTTAGTCACAAAACTGGCAATGGCTGCACTCCACTTGGTTAGAACTTTTGGAGAAGCACACAAAACCATAGAGTTGTTTCTTTTCCATGCTTATCCCAGCATTCTCCGACTCCTTGGAACACATGTAGGACCTCACGAGGTCTTATCTAAAGCACTCACATTTCTGGAAATCCCTTTGCATTTTTAACATCAGACCCACGATCACCACCAGTAGCCAGGCAGCAGTTGCTAGGGGATCAGCCTGTGTTTACAGCGATGAAGGCTTCCCGACCTCCCAGCCAGGCACAGCGCAACCTCCACGCACATAAAGCAGAAGCAGGCTTGGTGGAAGCCTCCGCTCGCTGTTGCAAATCCACTCTTCTTCAGTCTGTACTCTTCCAGAGCGCAAACTTGCTCCATCGCAGGATGGTTTGTTTCTTTAGAAGCTGTTTGTGGGCTGACTAGAAGCCAAGTGCAAGTTCTCCAAACTGAAGGCAGGGCAGAGAGCAGTTAAAACTCTGCTAAAGTATTTAGAACCTTCCGCGCAAAGGTTAGAATTTCTGTTATTATTTGTTAGCTTAAGATATGGGTTTAGCCCCTGAAAGAAGGGGCTAAGAAGCCGTGGTTCTAGAGAATGCCTCGCTAAACTCCGAGAAGATAAGGCGCAGAGTGATCTATCACTAAGATTCTGAAGCCATTCTGTGTCATCTCATGACAGCAGTGCCAACCTACAAGCTCAACAGTTATTTGCATCTGTATTCTAATATTTTGCAGGCGAGGCTGAGATGGCCTCTGTGCCAGCCAAGAGGAAAAAGAACACCAAATCCACGATGCAAGGAAGCAACCATCAACAGGCTAAGTCCTTATCAGCTGACAGAGGCGAATCCTTGTTTTTAGGTAATAATTGTGCCGAGTCCTATGACCAGGTTCTCAAATTGACGCCAGTATCAAGTGAATTACATCAACCGGCCAAAGTTAATTACGTCTCCTAGCTCATGGCATAACTGACAGACATACAGCATGTAATTTACACCTTCTTCATTTAAACCCTGTGAAAATACAAGCCCATCCCTTTGCTTATAAAATAATTCAAGACAGAAATTATTGATACTGGCTGACAAACATCTAGTGAAATGAAAATATTTTATGCTAACATTTTAAGTGCTTCGTTGAAAACGTGAAGAAAAATACAAGCTCTCTATTAGCAAGCAGTTCTTTTGAAAATAAACCATTGCTTTTTCATGGAGAGATAATTTGGCTGAAATGCCACAAATCCTTAATGACAAAACCTACCATATTATTTTTCTGATATATTCATTGTTGAACTCAGCTCTGTTCATTGGCAGTAAAAAATAGATTCATTTGTTTCAAATGAAAACATTTTTAATACAGAGGTGATCTTAAGGGCAATGCTTGTCTTTAGAAAGATGATTAGATAATTTATCTTTTTTAAATGAAAATTTCAGCTAGATTTAAACTCTGTATTCTAGAGAAAAAAGTCAGTTGCTATTCTGTTAACCCTTCCCTTACGTGGAAAAGGGAAAAAGGAAGTTCTGTGTTCTAAACTCTGCTTCTTTTTTTTTCTTTTCTTTTGGTAGCAAATGACACAAAGCAGCCTGCATCTCCCTGCCAGTGGGTTTATCCCTGCGTGCACTGGAAGCAGAGCTGAGATTAGATAGGAGCTGCTTAACAGACATCGCCAACACACAATTCCCAAATAAATTAATGAGCCGAATTCAAAACTGTCTCAAGCAATGCAGTTTACTGCCTGCACCCAGGGGGAAGACAATTTGTGTGGGCTCTCTTGAAAGGAATCATACTGTTTAATTTCATGCTGCTGGTTTATGTGACGAGTGACAAGACTGCTTCCCCAAGGGCTCCCCCCACTCCAAGTACCTTTTGGACAGAGGGAGGCTCTTTCACAGACAACACAGACCTGGGCTCAGATGCAAAATCTCTGAAATACCCACTTGTCTCTGCTGCTGAGGTGTGCCAGCTGAGCCACTCGGCCTGTTCTTTCCTAAGAGCTCAAGTCACAACAAGCATCTAATCCCACCTCTGATAAACAAGTGGAAAGGCCTTTGCCTGGAATTTGTGCAATCAGGAAATGGGAATAACCCCCTGCGTCCCCGTCACTCCTTACCTGTTAATAATGAGCCATCTAAGGATGCAAAACACACAAACAAATGAAGACTAAGGGGACTCATGCTCAAATAATACATGTCAAAAGATTCAATGAAATGAAGGTTCATCTTTAATACTGGGAGGTTCCATAATTAGACAGAAAAGAAGATAAAAGGCTCCCACCCCCTGGGTCTCTGTATAAGGATTAGAGAGGCAGAGACAAGTACGTGTTGAGACTAACGGAAGAATACCTTACCAGCACTTCAATCATTGCAGGGTATTTCAGGTGTCTGTATCTCAAGACAAATGGGACTGTTTAAAATGGGTTAATTTCTTAGCAATCCAGGCAAGCAGGGAGATGATAAAAGAGCCAAAAGCTCTGGCAGGAGGTATGAATGAGCAATTAAATGCTAAAAATAGATGAATAAATATTTACATTCCCATATCAAAGCGTAACAAGATCAGCACTACAACACAGCGTGCTAAGGCAGAGGAGAGAGATCAGCCTCCCTCGTGGAAGAAACCAGCAGCTGGAGGGGTGGTACCACTTTGTGGTACAATCTTTTCAGAAAATGCATTGGGTTTAGGAAGCAGTTGAGCTGTACTACTTTTATGCATGTCTTTTAATTTGTCTGACACTTATGCATAATGCATTAACCCTGGCTTTGAGCTACTTTCAAACAGTTCGTTCAAAAAAATTGACTGGGTTGCTAATGACAGTCTCTTCTAGAGGAAGCCACAATATGTTCTGGTTTTGCCTGGTCTGGTGCTGTGATGGCAAAATGAGATAGTCACCAAAGAGCCAGGCACCGCTCTCTGCTGGAGAGCCTTCCCCACTGCAAGTGTGGGCTCAGCTCCACCGAACCAGCAACAGGCAGCTGGAAATTCACCGTGGAAAAAGCTCATTTCAGCTGGCTCCAAAGACATTGCCAAAGCAGTGCTTTGCATCCTGGATGCTTGTTCCAACTGGTTGTTTAGTATGTTCTTTTGGTTTGTTTTGGTTTTAAGTTAAGGAGGAAATTCAAGGCAGGAGTTCAGGGATTAGCACAGATAATGCTGCAGTTTGTAACAACGCTCAGGCTTTTACTGTTGGAAGCCTTTGTTGCCAACTCCCATGAAGCAGAAATTTAAAGTAAGTCCCACCTCAAGGGTTTGCCATCTACTTCCTTTATTCCAAAGCAAACTGAACCAGGTGTGTGAGCCTTTTGGGAAATTCAGCAACTGTGGGCACAGAGTTCACTGTGGACTGCACCTGTGTTCATAGGTGGAGCGCAACGGAGACATAAAACCGGCGCTTGTAAAATATGAGATAACAATGGCCAGTACCTTTGCTCCACTTCAGTCAAAGGAGTTTTGTCATTGAAACAGAAGTTTCTACTCGTGATCGCAGGATGTACTATAACAAATAATGATAAAAAAACAGACCAAAGAGAGGATAACTCCGGTTTTGTAACCTGCTTCCCTCCCTGCTGCCATTCCAGTGGGAACAGAACCAGGACAGAGTGGACTTTTTCTCCTATTCACAGGCTTTACTGTTCCCAAAAGTTTTGTGCATAGCCAACCCCAGCTTTCCCTCTGAACAGCTGGAATTATTTATTCTCAGCTTAGAGCCAAACTGAGACCCACCTAGACAAGATATCTGAGAAAGACCAGTGAAGCAGAGGCCTGCCAAGTGAGAGGCTGCCATTTAGCATTGACAGACTAGGGCTGATTGGAATGTTCCCTTCTCCTACATATTCTATTTCTTCTGTTTTGCCACTGGTACCTGCCACCAGGTTACATTACCAATAATTTCTGAACTGTTTTAAGACAATATCCACAGCAATGGCTATAAAACCTACTGAAGCAGTCCCTTACCTTCCAGTATTTTCTTCTCTAACCGCTGTTTGTTTAGATGTCGATGTCACAGAGAAGATCCCAGATCATCTGAAGTCTCTCAATTTCCAATTTTTGCAGCTACTTCTACCAACTTTGTGGCGCTTGACAAAGCCGAGTCTAATGAGAACAGAACACACAGTAAGGCATGCCCTCAAGAAAAACAGCCAGAAGAAGAGATACCAAAAGTACCAGTGGGACCAGGACCATATTTTTATATCAGTGGATCTAACGGAGCTGGGCTGTAAGTAGCTCCTCTCAGCAGATTCATACAAACATACTACTGTGACCGTATATGAAGTCATGCAGTATTAGCTATTGTTCATTGGCCTCAAATATTTTTCCCTCAATTTGCTGTCTTTCTGGAGTGGTACATCTGAAGAACCATTTAAAGATCATTCAAATGGAAAGTACTGGAAGGCCACCCATGATGAAGTAGCTAACTACTATATCTTTGCAATGAAATGAAAGACTTGTATTTGTTTAATGAAAGTTTCTCTGTTGGGGCTGTTCAGAATCACTTAGCTACACCATGGAGCAAATCTGCTAGCATCATCACTAGAGCTAGGAACCACTGTTGTTGATCAATGTTCTGTTGTGCTAAATGTAAAACAAATGAAAAAAATATATTTCTGCCCAAGACAAACTGTCAGATCAGAAGTTCCACTCATTCCTTTCTGAGTTCTTTCCAGCACACTGGCATTCTTCTCTAGATGTTGCCACCAGCAAGCACCACAGAATATCTGCTGCAAACAGCACTTTCCATAGTTTTTGTCTACAATCAGCTTTTTCTATTGCTACTTGTCATCTCTCCCTAAACTCCTCAGTGGAGAGGCTCTTTATTAACACCAGACTCTGAACATCTCTGTTCCACGGGTACCAGTTGCATCCTAATTAGAAAAACCCTGCTGAATGGTAGAAGTTCTCATTAGAGTTGCTGAATCACCATGTTCTTAACATCCTCAGTTACCCCCCCGGTGTCGGGGGGGTAACTGAGGATGTTAAGAACATGGTTATGAACTTGAGAGCAAGTTCAGACCAGCAGGTCCACTAGCAGCCATTCCAATTAATGCTTCCTGCCTTATCACCCCACCCAGGGGCTTCTGGGCATGTTAGGTCAGGTTCCTGGAGAAAATTATCAGGAGTTCAAGGGATATAAGCTAAGTACTCGTTAACAGAAGAGAGGCTACTCTGCTGTTTTGTTTTCTCAATGCAGTGTGAGCATCTATTGCCAGAGCAGAGGCTGGCAGCGTATCTATGACAACATGAGAGAGGATTATGCGCTGAAATGGTGTGAAATCAAGTGTCGAGAGACCTATTATCATTTCAAAGAAGGTACTGGTGCCCGTGAGCCCTGAGTGGGAGAGGGTGGTGGGAAAAACCTGAGAATGCTGGACTTGTGACTCCCAGGGCAGAGGAGGTCACCTGGGGGTAGGTAAAACAGGTATCCCCAGCTTCTTGGCAGAGGGGACACCAGAGCTGGATTGTCACAGTTACAGCAAGTGATTTCACTGCTCTGTGAGTTGTCAGTACTGCCTTAAAGCAAATTGGTGAAAGTCAACAGTGACAAAGTCAGCTTCATCCTCCAGATTCTGCTCCATGGGACAACAAGGGCAAGCTTTTTAAATTTTTTTTTCTCATGCAGGTGAACAGCTTCTCTACCAGATTCCCAACAATGGAGTCCTCACCAGTAAGACAGGGCTTTTATGCTGCCTGAGAGAGCAAGAGCGGGTGATGAAAAAGACCAGTAGGAGCTCTAATTCCAAGTAAGAACTCTCACCTCTTTGAACCTTGACCAGAAACACACCAACAGAAAGTGAGAGCACATAAACAAAGGACCGGTTTCTCCTGGATGCATAACAGTCCAGGATACAAAGTATATGGGGTTTTATTCCTGCCTTATCTTCCAGAAAGATCACTTTTTTCCCAGAAATACACCAGACAGAATTTCTTCTTTCTCTATGTCTGCAGCTGTAGGAGTGCCAGGTCCCTTGAAGACAACAGTCACAGTAATTCCCCTGTTTTGGGTACATCATCCTACTGGAAAGGCTACAACTTCTTGTGCCATAGACACTGTAAATTAAAAAAAAGCTTACTTCTATTTCTACCCCTATACTTTTGACCTACTGAAAAAACAAACAGTAATCCTGTACCATGGTTACCTGCAGCCATTTCAACTAGTTTAAAAAAAACTGAGCATATGAAGAATGTCTTGAGGTTAACTATTCTTGAAAGCTTATGAAATGAGGCAGGTCAGGAAAAACACGTAACAAACACACAACTGTCTATAAGTGGGAAAAAAGCCCCATTTCTTAGGTTTCTACTCGCAACCAACCTTTCTGACAGTAAAAATGAATTAACGTTTTGGACAAGGTTTTCAACTTGTATTTGATTCTCCCACAGGTTACTGAAGATGAAAGAATTCTTCCCAGAATCTTTTCGCCTGGACTTAAAAAATGAGAGAAATGCCTTTTTTGAGCTTTGCAAAGGTGAATTGATACCTATACACATACCTATATATGCACACACGTTCAAGTGAGCAGTTGTCAGAGCCCACTAACAAGCACATCGGTGTTTCACACCACACACATTACTATAATAGACTCATCCTCTCTGCAGAAGAACAGATTTGGATCTGCAAACCAAGTTGCTCTAACCAAGGTCGAGGAATTTTCCTGCTTAAAAATCCAGCTGCTGTCAACACCCTCCAAGCCGAGCTCCACAGCACTGAGGAATATTTACTCAATACGAAGGCGCCATACAAGGCTCCCCAGGCGAGAATAGTGCAAAGGTAAAGATACACCCGTGACAACGCTGTAAGTATTAGCATGGCAAAACCACATTTTGCCAGGTAGTAATCACTCCATATTCCTTTGAAAACTGTTGTTAGCACTGATTGCTTTAACAGTATATCCTCGTTATTTATGCAGACATCCAGCAACCTTTGATAATAAAGGGAAACAATTCCCAGATTGCATCACTGGCAATAAAAGCAATGGTCCTGTATGAAAGGCTCTTTGTGTTCAGAGACAAACTTCATATATTCTCCAGTAAATATTAGTAAATCTTTAATTACCTTCCGCTCCCAAGACTCCACACAGTTTCTATAACTCTTGATAGGAGCATTCTTGGCATTTCTAACCTCTTCTCCAAGCGCCCTCTGCTGCCATTCACCTTAAAAACAGGGTTGAAAAAGGGACAAACGGATTAGCTCTGTGGTGAGAAATGATGAAGCGGCTGTGGGGTTTGGTGTGGGGTTTGAATTGCCCTGTTGGTGACGCCTGTTGAAATACTGCTCTGACAGGTACATTCACCAGCCGCTGCTCCTGGAAGGGAAGAAGTTTGATGTCCGGTCTTACCTCCTCATTGCCTGCACAGCACCCTACGTGTTATTTTTCGCCCAGGGTTACGTCAGGTTGACCTGTGTCAATTATGATGCTGCGTCTGACGATCTGACAGTTCATCTGACCAATCAGGTAAACTGGGGTCACTTCGTTCGGAAGAAGGGGAGGGGGTTGTTGACAGAGATGGGAAGCAAAAAAAGACATTTGAAAGCCCAAAAATAAATGCCTCATGCATGCAAAATCTATGCACCCGGGAAATGGGTGTGGGGTCAGGCACGGCAACAAGGCTGAACAGGAGCAGTACTGGATCAGCTTTCCTTCTCTGCCATGGACCAGTTCTCTGCTTAACTTGGCAATTTCTTTCCCTGGACCTCTTTTTCCTGCTGTTGTTCTCTCATGTATCAGCAGACTATAAGCTTCTTAGGGCAAAAATCCTTTTGATTACAGCTACCTAGCACAAAGGAGCCTTAATCTTGGCCAAGGGTCTTAGTGGTCCTGTTGTGCTTAAATACAATAATCAGAATGATGTGAGATGCAGATGTGTTCTGCAAGAGTGGTAATTCTTACATCTCCATCTTTGCTTGTCTTGCTTCTCAAACAGGAGCTATAACGGAACAAGACTGTTCTGGCTTGTACCTCATACAAAACAGAAGCCTGCCTTGCTCAGATTTATCTGAGTTTTTACTTCAAATGAGGCTCTTCAGTAGTTAGAACTGGCCCTAATGAAAGAGAATTAAAAGAATCAGAAGGAAGAAAACAGTTTGCTTTTAAAGCCCTTCTCTCCTGGTGTCATGCTGTGTTCCGAGAACTAGCAAAATGCACGTTAGAGAGGTATCAGACAAGCCCACTTCAGTTGGAGTTTTACGGTTCCTGGAGAACTGCGGTTCAGGACAGCAGATTACAGCTGCTTCCTGCAATATGTGCTATTATCAGTATGCCGCTTGTTTTCCTGGAATAGTTTGTTTGCTCAGCTAGAGAGCTATCCACATGGGAATTCAGGTGCTGAGGTAGGATCCCATGGCACCAGCGCTATTACACAAAGAACAGGTGTTTATTAGTAGAACGTAAATTATCTGGGCTCCTGCTGGGAGGAGGGAAACAAAATTCATGGTAGCAGCTGGTAATAGGCCAGACTTCTCCAAATTACAGTTGACTCTGCTCTCACTCCCTTCCCACCCTTTCATCCCACCTGGAATCAGCCATTTTCCTACTGTATTTCCAAAGGACAGGAGGCAGTGGAGCCAGCATCCCTGACCACAAGCTCTGCAGCCTCCCAGTAACGGAACCACAGATGGAGCTGCAGTTGAGCCCAGCTGTTTCATAGGCAAAAGGGACTTGCCTTTGATTGCACAGTGTAAATACCCTGCTATTGATAAACTCCAGCTGACACGGGGATTAATGAGACAGGGGAAGAGAGAAGCCCTCACCTTGGTTTCCTCTGGGGATATACATATATACATCCATACATCCCGCCCAGATGTACTCGCCTCTAGGAGAGTGCTGAGCAGACAGACACTGGAACCGGATTTAGTCCAAAGAATATCATGATTATGACTTGAAAGCACCTCTCCCTGGCCCAGCCATATCATACATACATACATAATCACACACACAAAACCCTGCTCTGACAGTACTTTGGGTAATTGTCTCTCCAGCATCCACGTGGGTCAGACACAGGTTGTACAACGGGACTCAGGACCTTTGCTCGGGTTTAGCTCTGCCAGCGAGGGACTCTATTGCCCCCACCTCTCTAACTGGATCCTGAGGTTCTCCCCAACTCCAGATGCTGGGAACAACTCAGGGCAGTTGGATGTCCACCATGTCAGCTGGTTCCCAGCTACTCCTCGCTGTCAGAAATCTAATCCTCCTTCTGCTCTGCTTCCCCTCCTCTCAGTACATGCAGAGGAGGAACTCCCTGTACAGCCAGCGGAAAGATGAGACGGTTTGGCGGATGGAGCACTTCAACAGCTACGTTAATGAGAACTTCAGAAAAACCAACGGCCTCCCCAAAGACTGGGTTTTCACCGTGTTTACGGTGAGTGCAAGCAAGTGTATGGTGTGCCAGTCTGGCTAATGAGGGTGACAGGAATAGGGAAAAAACCTGACAGGTCACTGGAGCCCCTAAGAAAACATAGACACTGAGTGAGAAGGTATCAATGGTCCCATGGCAACCATTTGTCTGCAGACATTAAAAAAAATGAAGACACAGAGTTTAATTTTAATAAAAAGGGTAAATGGCTGAGAATGAGAGTGTGAATGTGAATGCTAGCTATAAAAATGTAATTAGGGTCTTCACATTCCTGGCCCAATGCTGCGGTCTTGCATTAAAAAATAAAAGTACACATTAGAGAGCTCTCCAGCCTGACAGATCTTAGCTTGAAAAGGGACGATACTTTGAGCCATCTCCTTCCTGTCTGACTTGGCCTCACCCTTCACTTTTTGTCTGATTTTGCCACATGAAAATCATGTCAGGGCCTTAGATCTTCTCTTATCATGGAGGAGAGATAAGAAGACTCGATTGGCTTGATTTCTTACCATCTTCCTGTCTCACTGAGACTTTATTTCATCAGCCTGAGTCTAATGATGCATCAGTTCTCTACAGAACTTCCTGGGGTGAAAATGAAAAGGGCAGAGGACACAGCTTTCTCAGGTTAACTTTGGAAATGCTGTAGTTTAAAGCTAAATACAAAGAAAACTAAAAAGCTAAAAACTTTCTTAAAATATGTTTTTGTTTAGAAAAACAGCTCAGAAGCAAATCTAGTTGAATTTGCCAAGTTTCTCAGGGGATCAGAAACTTTTCAGACAGCTTTATGCATAAATTCCCCACTGTGCATTTCAACTCCAAACGGAGTGAAACTTAGAATCACCTGCTGCAAGATGCTGTAACTCACCAGGCTGCTTTAAAACACTACGTCCAGCACAGCTGTGAGGGGGTTGTGAGTCATCAGGGTCAGAAACGGCCGTGTTCAGCTCACTTCTTGGTGCTCCCATAAGAGTAACTGGAAGAACACCACTAAAAATTCTGCAGACAGCTCATTCGGAGTAAGGGCCAAGATTCCTTCACACACCACTGCAGCAGTCTGGAGAACCCAGTTCGAGAGCGGGTTTCAATCAACTCAAAGTGGACAGACACAGGGTCTGCAAAATGCAACATCCTCCCAAGTCTAGACAGGAGCACTGCTGGAGGCAGAGAAAGAAAAATGTCCCTAAACCAAGAGGTCATCTATGACTTACGGTGACTCCTGTGCCCTTGGAATTTATGATGACCAGTTACAACTGTTCCCTGCCTTCTGTTTCAGAAAAGGATGCAGCAGATCATGTTGCAGTGCTTCCTGGCAGCCAAGCACAAACTGGATCGTAAACTGGGCTACTTTGATCTCATTGGCTGTGACTTTTTAATTGATGAAAACTTTAAGGTACGAATACAATATTGTCAAGTACTAAGTATGATACTGGGCAGATGTCTAACACCAGCAGTGTAGCATGGTTGACACAGGCTCTGGTGCTAGGAATCAAACAGACCATTCAGTCAGCCAGCTGTGAAGTGCAGGATTCATTTTTTTCTCCGTTCCATTGTCCAGCATTAATTAAGCACAGCACCTATATCACCTGCACATTTACTGCACAGAAAAACTCTGGCATTAATAGCTCAGCATGGGAAGAAAAGTACTTACTGCAGCTGAAACTGTTCTGTGCAGAATTTTCCCAGGAAAGTGGAGCTCACAGTGAAAACTATAGGAATTTTAATGCCCACTCAGTTTTTTTCTTTCTCCAGAAACCAAACAGGCCAGATAAATCAGCGTGTGATGCCTCTATCATCACATGAAGTATACTGATCTACACTAGCTGAGTAGCCATCAAAGGCAACAAAGAACTCGCCTTCCCCATATGGAAGAATCGGTCGTTATCGATTCAGATGTCAGCATCAGCACTTCTATGCTCACTGTAGGTTCACCGCTTAGCAATAGGTCAGCCCACCGAGGCTATAAAACCTGCTAGAATTACAACTCCAACTTGTAGAGAGTGAATGAAGCTCAGACAAGAGAAGCCAGAAGAAAGGGAAATGTTAAATACAGTGATTGAGGTGCTCTCAGTGCAGCACAGTCCTTCAAAACCACCTGGCCTAAACACAACAGAAAGCCATCTGGCAGATTCGGCTGTTGCTAAAGCAGAAAGGAACTCAAATATATTCCAGTGAAGGGCAGTGGGAACAGCAAACCCTACCAAAGAATGGAATTAATGTATGCAGCACTGGGTAAGGCACCTGAACAATAGACTCCTTTGTCCAGGAAGTCAATGGCAAAGGAGAGTAAATGGCAAAGACACAGAAACTGGTGCTTCTCAAATTTCAGTGGGAATTGTCTTTTGCAACGCTAGCATGCAAAGCCCTGGCTGTGTCAACTTTAAGTAGAACAGAAGATCCAGTATCACTCTATTGTGACAATTCCTACTTGGCTAGCTGAAAACTTCAGTGTTTAAAGACTATTACGTCCCCATGTATTTTACATATGGAGAGCAAAACAAAATCTCCTTCTTGGCAAATATTATCTAGAAGAATGATGAGGATTTCTGGACACTTACTGGTGGCAGAATCAGTTGGAACCTGGAGCTTCCCCTTGAGAGAGAGTAATGTGGAAATTTAGGCATTTATTTAGCAAAGGTTTGTCCACGTTTTCTTGCCCCTGTTGGGGAGCAACAAACCTACTTTTTTATCAGCACACTGCTGCATTGAGAGACACCTGCACACGCCCTGCAGGGGCAGCACACAACAGCTGGATGCAGGAGTGACAGCGTCAATCCACAGTTAACACTCGTTGGTGCAGTTTTCTGTGGGCTGACTTTACAATTCCTGTTCTGACATCCTGTCCTCTCCTCCTGGAACACACAGCTTTATTCTCCCTCTCCTACTCTTTCATGACACATGTAGAATCTGCTTCATGCTGATTTATCATGGTCTTATATGTTCAGTCCCATAGCTCATCATATCTTTCCCTCTGCCTTATTTGTGTGAGATATAAATGCCCCCAGCATCGTTCCTAATAATTCTTGAAGGCCCTGCAGCATCCTGATTCAGTCTTTGGAAGGTGTTTTTCCTGCCTCAGAGTTCTTAGAAGCACAGGCTATGAAAGCAGGGCCTGCTGAGAAATCACAGCTTTCTGTAGAGCTTTGCATATTCACATGTAAGCTGAGAAAATAACTAAGTTCTTTAAGAGGAGAGGGAGCAAAAGTGACGGATGTGGTTTTGCTGCTGTTGGCTTTTTTCCTACTGTTTTCTGGAGCTTCCTTGTGCTATTGCAAATGCTCGAGTCACTACACAGCTTAGGACTGTGTGATTTAAATGCTCAAGGAACCCATTTTCAGAAAGAATTGCATCACCCATGCAGAAGGGCTTCTCTGCAAGGGTACGCTGGGAAGACAGATGTGTGAATTTTTTTATCAGACATAAGGGATTCAGCTATCTATCAGGAGAGAACTGACTGAAAACAGATAAGCCATTTGCCAGTTTGTGATAGATGTACATAAATGGAAGATAACGTTCAATGCCTGGTTCAAGCAGGGACGGTCGCTTTGATTTGAATGACAGAGCTTTTCCTTTACCCCAGGAGTATGAGGTACCACATGGGTACTGTAGGCTTGGTTGTGCCCACCCCAGGCCATGATGATAAAAAAATCTGACAAAAGTTTGTTAAGGCTGTGGAAAACAGAATGCCACTGCCTTAGCCTGTTGTTTCTGCTATTGCTAAGCGGGTCCCTTTCTGGGTCAGCAACATCTGAGCAGCCCTTCCAGTGCTTGGTTTGTGACTGTGCATGTGGCTTCAGCTATGTTCACACAGGACACAGATGAAGCTATTTTATTTCTGTTTCTGACTGGTATTTCAGTGCCGCTTAAAGCTCCAGACAGAGGTCAGGCTCCTGGACACCTGCTGCTACACAAGTGCAGAACAAGACAGCCCTGCTGTGGATAGCTTTGGGCTTTGAAGCATGTTACAGCCATCCTCTCTAAAAACACATTCTGGTGCAGAGAGATGTATACATTCCCATTCAGTCTTGGCAATCACATCACTTGGAGCCTCTGGGAGCATGGACTGATGCCCTCTCCCTCCCTGAGAACCCAGCAGGTCATTTAACTTCCACCTGGCAAGCTCCAGCAAAGTCCTACACAATTAAATAATTTAAATGTTTTTTAATCAGAAACAGAACAAAACTGTGGCTCAATTATACATTTCCTGCACACCAAAAAAGTCTCACCTCTGCCCGTGTTGACAGGGAAAGGACCCTTGAGACAGGGCTTCTGCTGTCTATCAGCCACCACGTCAACATGTTCAAGAACCTGTGGACAAATCCTACTATTTAAAGAGTTTAAGCCTACCTGACAGAGCAGGTTTAAGATGTGACAGACCAGGAGTTGTACAGGCAGGCTGCAGGGAGCAGTAACCTCTTCATCCCCAAGAACCATCCAGAGGAGCACCTACTGACCAAAGCCACAGGGCACTCATTCTTGTTCTCATCACTTGAAAAGCCTAAAGAAAAAGGACAGTCCATGCTTAGGAAAGAGCACAGATATTCCGGGTTTTGGTTTCCTTTCTTTGCCATATGTTTGGTAGGAAATTTTGAGCATGGCAAGTGCAAGCCAGATTGTTGTGGTTTAAAGGTCACCCCTCGTGGGCTGAGGCAAGGACAGGGAGGGTTCAGTCACCCTGAACTAAGAAACAGACTTGGGAAAACACAAAAACAATTTAATTCATTAACAATCAAAAAACACAGTAAGATAATAAGAAAGAGAACTACATCTTAGAAAGCCACATCTCCCCCACCTCTCCCTTCTTCCCAGGCCCAAAGGCTTTCTTCCCAATTTCTCTGTCTTTGTTCCCCATTTCGCTACCTTCTCCCCCTGGCAGCGCAGGGGCAGGGAATGGGGGCTGCAGTCAGTCCGTGTTGTCTCTGCCACTCCTTCCTCCCCAGCGGAGGGCTCCTCACAGTCCCTGCTCCAGCCTGGGGTCCCTCTCACAGGAGAATCCTTCCCAAACTGCTCCGACATGAGTCCATCCCACAGGCCGCAGTCCTCCATTAACTGTTCCAGCGTGGGGCCCTTCCACAAATTCACAGCAGCCTCCTTCGGGCAGTTACTTCTCCCGACGTGGGGCCCTCCACGGCTACATCTCAACGAGCTGCAGGCGAGCTCTGCTCTTCACGGGCTGCACGGGGACAACATGCATCAGCATCCTTCTTCACCAGGGGCTGCAGGGGAATCTCTGCTCTGGCACCTCCTTCCTCTCCCCTTCCTCACTAACCTCCATCTCTGCCCAGTTGTTTGTCTCACACCCTGTTCCTCTCTCCACCAGAGTTTCTTTCGCTGGCTCCTGAGGAACTCCTGGCTCTCAGCTGGGCCATGGCAGAGGCTGGGCAGGCACCAGGCAGGCAGCTGGATGGACAGACCGGACGGGTCCTGCCTGGCACCTCACTCCCCACCTGTGCTGTGCCCCCTTGTCAATCTGTCATTCACAAGTGCTGATTGGCCCAGCTGTGGCCAGGGGCGGGTCCAGCCCCGAGCTGGGGGAACTTCCAGCAGTTCCTCACAGGCGCCATGTTGGTGATGTCCCCTCCCCTGCTGCCAAACAGACCTGGA